TGTCAGCATCATTGGGCAAGGAATATCTCATACTGCACACATGCAGTTATATCATGATGGGAAACCATTTTCAGTGTTGATGGTTGCCACTATTTTTCTTGTGAAGGAGAGGGATTTTTGGTGCAATAAATAAAAAAAAGAACATCAACAACAACAAAACAAAACCAGAAACAACAAAACCCCCCAAAACCCCAATACATGCATTTCCGGGACTGCAACAAGGTGGATTACAAGGCAGTAGCTCTATCTTTTTATATGTGGTTTATGCAGCAAGATTTTGGTAGCAGGGGGCTCTGCAGGAGTAGTCTCTGTGAGAAGATGCCAGAAGCTGCCTTCATGCAACCAAGGGAGAGAAGTGAGGATATGAGACAGCAACAACTCTGCAGACACGAAGGTGAGTGAAGGAGGAGGGGGAAAAGGTGCTCCAGGAACAAGAGCAGAGATTCCCCTGCAGCTCATGCTGAAGCCCATGGTGAGGCAGGCTGTGCCCTGCAGCCCATGGAGGACCATGGTGGAGGAGATGTCCACCTGCAGCCCGGGGAGGACCGCACACCAGAGCAGGTGGATGCCTGATGGAGGCTGTGATCCTGTGGGAAGCTGATGCTGGAACAGGCTCCTGGCAGGACCTGTGGAGAGAGGAGCCCACGCTGGAGCAGGTTTGCTGGCAGGACTTGTGACCCCCCACGGGGGGGGTCACCCACGCTGGAGCAGTTTGTGAAGAGCTGTGGTCCATAGGAAGGACTCACGTTGGAGAAGCTCATGGAGGACTATCTCCCGTGGGAGGGACCCCCACGCTGGAACAAGGGAAGAGTCTGAAGAGGAAGAAGCAGCAGAGACAACATGTGATGAGCTGACCGCAACCCCAGTTCCCTGTTCCCCTTGTGCCACTCACAGAGAGGAGGTAGAGAAGTTGAGCCCAGGAAGAAGGAAGGGGTAGGGGGTAGGTGGTTTAGGATTTGCTTTTATTTCTCGTTACCCTACTCTAACTTTTGATTGTCATAAATTAAATTAATTTCCCCAAGTTGAGTCTGTTTTGCCCGTGATGGTAATAGGTGAGTGATCTCCCTGTCCTTCTCTTGACCCACGAGCCTTTTTGTTGTATTTTCTCCTCCTGTCCAGCTGAGGAGGGGAGTGATAGAGTGTCTCGGTGGGCACCTGGCATCCAGCCATGGTTAACCCACCACACTCAAGCTGCACAGTTCCTTATGATCACATTTGCAGCTGAGGTCTCCCACTGCAGTTGGCCAGAGCATGTGTGAACACACTTTGCTTTGGTAGAGCATGTACTTAAAAGCTTGTCCTGTCCATTTGTTGCACGTACTTGAATATCTGTGTAGCTTTCCAGGCAAAAGAACAAAGAATTAAGTAGGAAAATATCAGAAATGCCATGTTACCTGCTGCTGTTTTAGCAATTACAATGAATACAACAGGTCATCACTATTTGCTAGGTGGGGAGAAGGTTCAGGTGATAGCAGAGGAAGTTGGGTTGTCCTGTCTCTTGCCAAGGGGATTCTGCTGGAAATCTAATGGGGAAAAGAAATGGAAACTGTAAAAATGTTTTTGGAAATGTCCAGTTAAGGAAGCAGAGGAGAAATAATTTGCACATAGTATTCTGTAACATATTCACTGCAAACCCTTCAAAGCTTTCAGGACACACAGTGTAAGTAAAAGTCATCTTTTCCCAGTTGTGGCCCTGAATTCTATTAGTGTTGGGACATGCAAAACGTTTACTGGATATCAGCAACCTCGTATTACTTCTTGGGGAACCATAATATTTTAGCACTCACTTTATGTAGTTGAAGACATTTAATTTTTTATTAGACACAAATGTACTTTGCATTCACTTTCTTTCGCAGTTTTGGTATGTCTTCACTTAGTTTAGCGGTACAGATATATTTTTGCTTTGCTTTCTGCTGCTGTTTTTTAAATTGCTCTGCTATCTGCTTGAACTGCTGAATCTTCCATGAATAGTTACAACATCTCTACTTGATGTGTGGAAGCTTGAAATTGGAGCAGTTAAAAAAACCTCCTTGTTACTATTTTCTTTTTTTTTTTTTTTTCTAAAACAAAAACAAAGTAAACCCAGAACTGGCAGCATGCTGTAAGATGAAGTAAAAGTCCAGGGGCAGGAAATTGCAAGCCAGATTCAGTGCAGTTTTCTCAGATAAACTGTTTTCCAAATATTGCATATTCAAAGTATTTGTTTCAAAATTCTAGCCAAAGGTTGCATCTGCCTTTGTTTTTTCATTTAATTTGCACTTGTTTGAGGTGTAGGGTTGTCGTGGTGCTCTCTGTTTGATATTTATGGATTAAAATTTCAAGCCTTCAGGGGGCTTCAGGGGGGAGTTCATCATCTCACAGTCCTCTTGCATTTGGCTAAAATAAAAATGCTTAGGCTTAAAAAGTTAAGTATTTCCATGTCTTCAGAATATGATCCTCACACATTGGTCTGTTGTGTTTTGGCTCTTCCAGTTGGGAAATGCAGTACAGGATGAGATAATTGGTCTTCCCATGGACACCCAGGGTAGGCTGGATAAATCCCACTCTCCCAAATTAATACCTGAATTTGTGGGTAGTTTTTAACTTTATGGTCCAACTGTGGACACGCAGTGTTGCTTGGTGTTTCTTTCCCATGGTGTAGTGGGGACGCCAAAAAGTAGATGTGCACAGCCCATGCAATGAAATCAGTGCTTCTCCTACCTTTTGCAACATTTGGTGGATTTCATCTTTGCTTTTGGGGTGGTTTTGGCATTTTAAATGACTCCCCTGAGGTACCTGCTGGATGCTATGAATCTGTAGGAGTGCCCCCATGTGGGAACACATTGAAGTCTGCAGTCTATATTATTTTGGGGGTTAATGCAATACAGTTCCTAGCTGGGTGCTTATAATTGAGGACTCGAAGGAATTTCCAACCGTGGTTTGATTGCGTCATGGTTCATCTGAGGCTTGATTCACTGAAGTATGTAAGTGCATATGGACTCAGGATTACTGGACTAGGCTAAAAATCTGTTGAGGCAAGTTCAGTTTCTCACAAAAAGTGTGGACTAGTCCTCTCAGCACATGCAATTAGAAGTTCAGCTAAGCTGAAGTCATGTCCTGGCCACCCACCCTTCCATATTGCTAACCTGGAGTGTGTCAGCATGCTGAAAATCCAAGAAAAACCTCTGGGTCAGCGCAGTCTGTAAAGGTCTAAAAATCTTATCCCATGCTGCTCTTTTGTCAGTGATTTAATGAAAGTTGGATCTTGTTAGTAACAAGTGAAATTCCTTGGGGATGGGTAAGCCCAAGATAATTTCTTATGTTATATAGCCTCATATATAAAGCAAAGGAAAGAAGTGTCTGGGACAACTGATTTAGGAGGAACCGCAGGAGGAGAGGAGTGGGAAAATCTCTAGCAATGAGCCCCTGTGCATTTGGATTAAACACCATTTAATGACCCGGATTTGTGTCAACTTGACAGACTGATCCAGGACTTTATTTACGGCTGGTACAGGGCTGAGTCCTCTCATGCAAGTGCTGCTGCGGGTGAGATGTGTGAGAAGCAGCAGAAGATCCCCTGATTGTGCTGTTTGGATGTGGAGCTTGTCCTCAAGCACTGGCCAATGCAGCTTCAGGGCTAACCTGATCAGTATATCAAGCGGGCTTCTGGTTTTGTTCCATATTCATGATTTTCACCTCGCTCCATTGCTGACTTTCTGCTCTTTCAAATGTGGGTTGGGTGCATGGTGTTTTAACAGCTTAGGGAAATCTGCTTAAGGGATGCAGAATATGTCTTAGTTATAGTCTGGTGACTTGAAAATAAGAATCGTAGCTCCTGTTCGAGTTTCCGTAATGCTTTGGCTCAGGGGAGCGGCTTGGTAATAGCAGTGGCTGCTTGAATATGCTGTAGTGTGTGAATCCCTGCAGTGCTTTTGAACTTGACCAAAGTTTTAGGTAGAGCAACTTCTGGGAAACCTGCAAAAGCCGATCCAAGTGGGAGGCAGAATAGGGCTAAACCATGAGAAAATCTGCTGTAAAGCTTCTACCATAAAGCTTGTGCCAAAGACATGGGTATAAATGAGTGTTTCGCTGGTGAATATTACTAGTTGAAAACCAAATGCCTGTTTAAAGATTATTTAAGTGATGTATCCTTTCTCTGTAATGTAGCCCAGTCAAACCTCACATCGCTTCTTTTCTGGGGGTGATGAAGCTGTGGAGGAGCTCAGGATGGTTTCAGGGGGTTTAAAGTTGGGAAATGAAGCTAACAAAAAAATCCCCAAATGCACCAAAGTTCAAACCCCTAAACATTTAAACCCTCTACAAGTGTTCTCCTTGTAGAGCAGATTTAGGTATCTTGGTCAAAGTTGGACCTTGGGAATGAAGCTGAGAGAAGTCGTCTGGGCAGCAGCAATAGCAATTCCTGCCACTGACTCATTGACCCTTCCAGTTGGGCTCTCAGAAGAAATAGGAAGAAGGGGAGCCTCTCTTGGGGCTGGAAGATGAAAGTGCAGAGGACCCATCTGGGCTCCCATCTCCCTCCTGCCCCGAAAGCTTTGAGCCCACAGAGCAGTTGCACTCTGCTCCCTGCTTCCTCCCCTTTTCTGAAGGCAGGACCTGTTCACATGCCCTCCGGCTCTGGAAAGTGATGGTTAACCATGCTGTTGTGCTTGCAGTTTCATGTTCCTCCATGGATCTGATACTCTCACTTGATAAATGAGCAGAAATCACTTATATCTTAATTGCTAGTAATTCCTACAAATGCTATCTCAATTTATGTGGACGATATCCACTGGGTTACAGCATCTTTACTGTCCTGAAGGTGCTGGTGGAGTTATTTGTCCAGTGCAAGTTGCATGATCAGACACTGTGTAAGGCTACATCCAACCATGTACTTGGGCTAAATTTCTGCAGCAAGGGGGAATCTGCATCCCCCTTCAGAGGATCAGCTGGGAGGTGAGCCCCTTTCAAAGTGATCAGTGGTCTCCAGTATTAATATATCTTCTCCCTTTTTGTCTTCACAGCCACCCAGATTGATCCCAGTGAACTACAGGAACTTTTTCAGGAGACTTCAGCCAATGTCTTCCGAATTAACTCCAATGGTGCGTATAATGAAAGGTTTCCTAGTCAATTGGGTGCTGTCCTGCTGATGACTCGTGTGCGTGTACACCGTGCATGACAGTTCCTGTTAGGGAGCAAATATTAATGCCATTTTCCTGCTGCTGCATCTCACAAGTGCCAGCACATGTCCAATACACAGTTCTTTATAAGATGTAAAAATATTCCACCATATGTTCCATTAAACAGGCACAAATATATTCCAATCCTTGCTGAGACCACATCCTTTTCTATTTTTAATTGTGTCATCTGTTACAATAGGGAGTTAGAGCGCAGAAAGGTGGAACAAGCCAGACTCTTTCTAATGTGTTGCAGCACTACTGCGTTCAGAGCCTGTCATATGAGATTGCAAAACATCTATCTTCATTATAAAAACACCAACACCAAAACTCTTCTGTTATTCTTCCCTCTGTAGATGGAGTGGGGATGCTATTCCTGCTCATGTCTCCTTGGACCCTAGAGATGCAGAGTGCTTCCCTCCTTTGGAGTCATGCTCTGGCTCATCAGTTTTGTTGTATTGGGCTGGAGGGATGTATATTGCAGATAGATATAAATTAACACTGCTGAATGGTAGTTAATGTCATGGTATCCCACTTCTAAAATACACCAGTGTCAGGCAGGGATCTAAAATTGTCAGGTGCTGATTTTATGGTGGACCTTGAAATTGCTTCTGAATCACCTGGACAGCTTATCTGTCTGGTCTGTTCTCTGTCTGTGGGGATTGGGTGACAGAGAGGACTGACCTAGGTGTTTGTGCCTATTGCCTCTGGTCCTGGCACTGGGCACCACTGAAAAGAGCCTGGCTCCATCCTCTTCGCTTACACCCTTCAGATATTTATAGACATTAATAAGATCCCCCCTCAGTCTTCTCTTCTCCAGGCTGAATGGTCCCAGCTCTCTCAGTCTCTCCTCAGAGGAGAGATGCTCCAGACCCTTCATCATCTTTGTGTCCCTTTGCTGGACTCTCTCTTGTACGTCCGTGTCTCTCTTGTACTGAAGACCCCAGAACTGGACACAGCACTCCAGGTTTGGCCTCACTAGTGCTAAGTAGATGGGGAAAATCACCTTCTTCGATCTGCTGGCAGTGCTTTGGCTAATGCAGCCCAGGATACCATTCACCTTCTTTGCAGCAAGGGCACGTTACTGGCTCATGTTCAACTTGGTGTCCACCTCGACCCCTGGGCCCATTTTCCTGATCTTTTCCTTGAGAAAACTCCTACACTGTGACCTGGGCTTGTGGCCCTTGTGACAGGTTGAACCTCCCAGCTGTGATCACTGGTACTTGGCTTACAGATGGGTGTATGACCATATTATAATACAGAGAAATGCCTGTATTTGCATCAATCTTGGTTGCTCCAGCAGTGGCAGCTTTACCTTGACAATGGTAGTGATGAATGATAGTAGCACTTATGCTACCAAACCAAAGGCTCAGTGTGAAGTTTTGCAAACTCCTCGCAAGTCTGTCTGTGCTATTAATACCCAAACTAGCCAGGTTAGGGCTGACTCGGTACATCTTTGTGCGGTAATCACAACTCCTGCTGAAGTGGAGTTTATCCTGAGAAAACCTTAAGATGAGTGGTGCATCTTTTTTGAAATGCCACAATCCAATTTCTATTTGTATTCTTTGTTAGAATTGCATTAATCCATTCAATTAGGTTTTGAGCAATTTCTGGTGGTCTTTGTTTCTCCTCTTGAGATGATATAGAGTGCGTGGGGATGTGCCTTCTGTTGAGTTGCCTGTATTGAGTGCTCTGTGAAGCAGACAATGACAGTGCCTGTACTTAAAACTATTTTCCAAATTTGGACAGGTTATAGAGAAGAGCTATGACAACTGTTTGAAGTCTGCAAATCAGACTTTAAAATTCATGCTATCCAAACTTCTGTTTGAGACATCTAAGAGGACTTGCTCATGGTTTATAAGTACCTCTCTGGGAAGAAAGACATCAAATAGATAGCACAGGGCTCATTAATCTAACATTTTTGCACATAACGAGATCAGGAGATAGGAGTCAAAGCTAGACAAATTCAATCTTTCTGTATGAGGATAACTAGCCATTAGAACTGCTTATTGAGGGGATGTGATGGATTTGGCATTGCTTCGAACCTTTAAATCAAGATTCAAATGTCTTTTTATAAGATATACTTTAGTCCAGCTAGAGTCTACGGTCTTGATGTAGGATGGATGGGACAAATTTTGTCATAGGAAATCAGATTAGATAATCAGAATTGCTCTCTCTGGCCTTTAAAATCTATGAATCTATGAATTTATAATGTTTTTTAAAGTGCTTTTAGGTTGAAGGAATGCCAATAAGTTACTCTACTGTTGTTGCTCTGTTCACCACCCATATTATTTTTTTTTGTCTGCTAAAGTCAGTTTCATTCAGTTTGTGTGTGGCTTCTTCATAGCCTTTTCCCCAGAACTGGGTACAGCTTTTCAGGAGAGGGATGCTGAGTGTACTGCCAATGTTTTGGGGAGCTAATCCACATAAGGTAAAGAACTTCACAGGGTTATAAAGTGGGAAAGGATGCCCATGATCCTTTCTGCCCTGTACAGCTGTACCATATGGTCTCTTCAGGAAACCCAGCAAGCTCCATCTCAGAACATGTAGCAAAAGTCAGTGCTGTTGTTTGTGTACCACCATGCAAGCGGCTGAGCAACAAACAAGCGGCTGCATTGCAGATGCTCATCAGATGATGCTCTGTACTCCCCTTACTCTGGTCGTGGTGTGTTGAACACTCTGTAAGGTTGCATAAATTCAATCACATCTTCTTTTCCTGCCTTACCCTAGACTCTGTGGGGTTTTCCAGGTTCCCTGTTGTGTTTGGAGACCAAACCATGCACCCAAAATGTTCTTCTCCCTTTTGGGATGCTAAAGATGTCATGAGCTCCCCATGCTATACTGGTCTTGTTTAGATTGCCAAAATGCCAGGTTGTGGCTATATTTTCCCCGTCTTTGGGGAGTGACTATTTTTAATGAAACAAGAAGTCAACTTTGTACTGGGATTTTAAAGCACCGTTGGTTTTTATTGAGTTACACTAAAGAAGTAATAAACACTTTGTGCTTCGTCCGTCTTTGCTCTCCTTATACTTTTCACAGAAGTCTGAGCCTTTGGGGTGATTGAAATTTTTCTTGGGTAGTTCAGGACTTGCCTCCTGACCAAGGAGGGGCTTTACAGCTTTTAGCTGGTCTTGGCTGATCTCACGTGTAAATGCCTCCTGCTCCCATTTTCCTCTATGAAAATGGAAATCTTCCTTATGTGTTGGATAAAAATCCTAACCAGGACAGTTGGTTCTATTTATGTGCTACTGGATCACTCTCCTGCCAGGTCATGAGCCTACAATTTTATTTTATCCTGTCTCTTACAGAAGCATCAAGAAGTAGAGGGTGCTTTTTCCTATTCTTTGCATCTGCTTTCTTTCTCTGATTCTTTGGGATCTCTCCCACTTGAGCATAGGGAAGCTTGTTTCAGAGTGCTTTGTTTTATGCAAGTTTTATATGTTGGTTTTTGGTTGTGGTTTTTTTTTTTGGTTTTTTTTTTTTTTTTTTTTTTCCCCAGTTGATTTTTCTTTTCAGGGAATAAATAACACAAAAAGCTCAAATATTGTCTGAATTTGTCTTGCTTATTTTTTTTCCTACTTATTTTTATTAAGATTTTGCATATCTTTCAGAGTACAGCTTTTAGCCGCCTCTCAGCAAATGCCTTATAAATAAGTAAAATAACAGCCATTAAAAGGGGTTGGTTTGGTACATCTTGTTTAGAGGGCTGATCAGTGGAGGATAGACTGGAGGAATCAGTCCTGTTCTGGCCAGATGGAGAACCTGAGTGCCCTAATAGGTCTCTTCCCTCTCTAATTCCTGTTACTTGCTCATTAATGACTCCCCGTGGCAGGTTGGTGCCATGCGCAGTCCCATTACCTTGATCTGAGAGGCTGAGCAAAGGATTTTTCAGCATCCCCCAGGTGTGATAAAGTCTCCATTGCCATCTCAGGATGGTTTCTTATCCCCCATTGATTTTAAGGATTGCAAAGGCATAGACAACTGATGCCAAACTCTCAGTTTATGTAAATTGGTGCAGCTCTAACAGCAGTGATCTCTTCTGAATGTGCCTCATCCTGGAGAACTAGTGTATGCCTTTTTCAAAATTAAGTGTACAAGGCTTTTAAAGTAAGATATCTCTTTCAACACTGGCTTCACAGCATCTCTCCAGCACAGCTTGACGTGTTGCTCCTTTGGTAGAGCTACTGCTCGCATGGTCAGAACTGGTAAATTGAGAGGGATTTTCCACATCCAACACAGGCACTACAGAGATTTTGATAGAGCGATTCTTAGTCAAAGCAAGTAAGATTTACATCAAAACAGCTCAGTTTCCCTGAGATCCAGGAGACTCAAGTTGGAGTCTCAGTCTTGCTGTTTCCCAGGTAAGTGCCATATCAAATGCCAACCTTTGGCTGTTCCAGAGCACATTTCTAATGCTTTTGAGATAACTTACCTCTATGTAAGTGTGTAAATATTAGCCTGGAATTATAATATTAGATAAAATATTAGGATAGGGACTTAAATCTGAGTCATTTTCTCACCTGGCTGACAAGAACTTTGCTCTTCTTTTGCATTCCCATCTCAGATTCTTTTGCTGGTATGTGCATTTTCCAAAATATTTAACAAATGTTAAAGCTCTTGGATTTGACTCAGTGTAAAATGGCATGTGTGTGATGTCTTGAACAGTTTTGTGCAATGAGAAAGCTGCTTCCTACTGCAGTCCAAAGCAGGCAGTAGCAATGATCTGTGCATTGAACTGCCTTCATATCAGATGTGTCTTCCATCAACCTCGTCTTCATTTGTAAGAAGATGCTGACAGAGTAGCTTTCACTTTGAATCGTCATGATTTTGCAGCTCGTGTTAGAAAGGTGTCTGGATGCTGTAACTGCTGTTTTCCTTTCCGGAGCTACACACATGACATTAACATTTTCTTAGAAATTCAATGTCCATACAAATGCTTTCGCTACCTTGACTTGTTGTCCGTTCTTCAAGGACTATACTCTGCTTTGTTCTGAAGGGCTGATGGGCCCAGAACTATTTTTAGATGATGCAAAATCTTGTCTTTGAAACAGACAGTATGTAGATTGTGTGGGAGATTGATTTGTTAGGATTGAGGAGGGGGGAAGAGAGAGAGTTATAATATCTGTGAGATCTCTGCAGGATCAATGCTGCTCTCCTGGAGACACAAATGGTTATTAGTGGAAACTTTCGATTTATTCTTTAAAACATTATGCATCCAGCAAAGGATAATAATTATTAGCTCAGTTATAGACAATTCCTTGAGGCTTTATCTTACTAAATCACAAAACTCTACACTAAAATCTGTTACTGATATCTAACAAGTGGGGTGCAAATATGTGGTGCCATTCAAGCTTGTTTTGAATACCCACATTTTTCAGGCACATTAGTTACTTTTGATGCTGTTTAGTGACGTCTGGTGTCAACCCAGAGAAGCCCAAAAGAGAGGAGGGGATTTTGTCTGTCAGTGGAAAAATAATCCAGTGTCTTGTTCAAAGTTACAGGTCAAGGCCACGTCTGCAGAGTCATTAAAACCGAGGATTTCTTAAATTACTATGGAGATAATTGAGCCATGTTTCTAATCTGTTCTTTTTTTCCTTCCTTAAATATTGAAACGTGACTGATAATGGGTTATGAGTTTTTAAAATTGGAAGCATCCTGAGAAAATCCCACATGTAAATATCAAGAATGTAATTTATTTAGCATCTTTCACTGTGGAAGATCTTGAAGTGCTTTTCATATTTGATACGCTAAGTCCAAAAGTAGTGACCTGCTGTTAATTTGAGAATGAATTAGAGACAGTGAACATTCAAGGGTGTAAAAAGGCAACAGTACTCCTATATTTCTGCTACTTTTTTACACACACACACATATATATTTCTTATATGTGAAGTCACTCTGTATTGCAAAACATACCATGTTTTCAGCTACCAGTTGCTCCTAGGGTATTCCCCTCTCCTGATGGAAAACTCCAAGAAGCTCGCTAGCTCAAACACAGGAAATGATCACAGCAAAACACTCCATTTTATCTGAGCCAAAACACAGAAAAAAATTTGAGGGTTAAAGTCTTGAACAATGAGAGAGAAGATGTCAGATTGGTGAACAGTTTTGGGCTGGAAGAGTCAGAGATCTGTGCAGGATCCATGAGATGGAGTTTTTCTTGCTGTTACAAGGAGTCCACACCCCATCCTGTCATGGCACATGAAACATGGATTCGTCATTTATGCATCCACAGGACCCAATTTATCTATTGTGAGGTAATGACTATTGCTAGATGTTGTCCTCTGTTGCATGAGTTACTTTTCCAAACACTACTTCACCACAGTGTTTAAAAAATAAAATAAAAGACAAACAAATGAATGAAAATCCAGGTTTTTTTTTTTTTTTTTTTTCTCTGAAACTGCTTCTTTATCTTTTCTTTCTCTGCTGTTGATAGTGACCTCTCTGGAAAGAAGCCTTCGATCTCTGGGGACCTCAAATGATACTCAGGAGCTGCAGGATGGACTGTGAGTTTGTTTTGAATTGCTGCAGATCTCTCTTTGTTCCAGCCTTTTCAGTTTTTCTTCCTCATCTGTCCTCACCCTTTCTTTTATCCTTTTTTTATAGCTGGACACTTCTTTGTCAGGCTTACTTCATTTTTTTCCTTTCTGATGGTGAGCAATGATGGTGGGACGTGTATTGATTGTATAAAGCTTTGCTTGTGATGGTTTCAGGTAGCAGAGAATGGTAGGTAGGTAACAGAAAATGGTAGCCCATAGTGAAAGCAGGTTTTCTGTGTTTGTGCATGTGTTGTTATTTTTTGTTGTTCATTGTTTTTTGACATGTTGGGGTTTTAAAATTTATTTTTAATGTGAAGTCAGGGTAGGATGCTTGTGTAGCTTTTTCTTTTCTGTCCTCTCCCTCCCTCCTCACCCTGCCCCCCCCCAACACCTTGTCAAAGACCATGAACCCAGAAGTTAAAAAACAGAGAAGGAACAAGAAGATATTTAGAGGTGGAAAAGTGTGTTGTGGTGTTGAATCCTGCATCACAACATCACATGGCACAACACTGAGAAAATGAAACTTCAGTTTTACTTGCAATAGATACAGTTCATTAAACTCTCTCTTCTAGATATGTGTATACACAAACACGCACAGTTAGTTTTCATTGTACACATGCTAATTAGAGAATTAAAATGGCTCTTCCAAATGTAGCACAATTTATTAAAGCTGCTTCCCTTAATGCAGCTTGCATGCAAAAATGAAGTACTTAGGATGTGGCTCTGATTTTGTGTATATGACTGCAGTTCCTGCTGAGATTTGACTGTGAACAAAGGAGAGAATTTGTTTTCTATTTCTTTATATTGGCTTTATACGCTGTAATTTGCCTGATGGACTTGACTGACCTTCTCAATGCCATATAAACTCTCAGACTGGTTTGCAGGCTCTCTCCAATCCATTGCCTTCATTAGTGCATCAGATCTGCCCAAATTCACATATAGTCTGTTTTGCAAACTTGAGGATTAAAAATAGTAATAGTAATAATAGTCAGAAGATTTGGAACTAAATTTGGGAGATTGGAGAGGATGTAAGAGTAAAAAGTCAGTCTGTGGAGATCGATGTAATCAGGAAAGATGTTTACATATACAAAATTATTTGTAGCATAAACTACCTTAGTAACTGCTGGAGATCCTTAACCCAGGAAAGCCTTTCTCTCATGCAGAACAGCTATTGTGCTTGCACTCCTAAACTATTCTCTTTTTTTTTATTATTTATTTAAGAATCAATTCCTTGACTCTTCAGAACACTTCAAAATCATGGCTAGATTATTTTCTCCTTTCCTGAGCAGTTACATAAATAGATTCATAATGCACTAATTGCAATAATTATTTTTGATCTCAGAATTATCATTAATTGTCCAGTTAGCTAAATGCAGTTTATTTTCATTTGAACCGTGCTTCCCTGCCCCTGTCACCAGTCCCAGAATTCCTACAGTTGTTTCCTTCCATCCTCCTGGTTCATCCCCTCTCCCCACACTCTAGCAGAAGCTCTCTCCTGTTTTCTCCCATTTGGCTCATTGTGTCTCTGGACCCAACAGTTCCAGGGTGCCAATCCAAGGAGAACCAAACAACTCTCTTCCCCTCAAATCTCATATTCTTTCTTCCTCTCCTAACACTGATGTGTCCTTCGTATGGCCCCCTATTTCATCACCAGATGCATGCAGGCAGCCTTGAATGCTCTAAAGCATCTCTGCCTGTCCCTCATGAGAGCTGTACCAGCAAAAAGCAGTATGCCATGAATCACGAGAGCTGGCAGTGCTGCATATATCTCAATGTTCAGGAACAAGCAGAGGGTCAGCTCTTCAGGTGAGACCTTTGGGGCAGCGTTTTCTGCTTCCCCGGCTGCAAATCACGGCTTAATCTTCCTCCTTTGCCACTTGACCCCTTTCCTTCAAAGGTTGATGCATGTTTCTCCTTGAACATCCTCTAACTTGGAAGACGGTTGGGGAACGAGTGAACATTTGGTAGGTTTATAGCCTTGGCTATTAGGAAAACAATAGTGTTTGTGGGTATCTAAATAGTAAAATTGCCACACTTTCTACTTTTCTGCTAAATAAGTGACTATCGCTCTACCTAAAATGAGACTGTTAAGCAGGTGAGGGGAGGCAGAGTACGTGGGAATAGGGATTCGTGGTGAGTAGTAGTCCTGCCATGGGACATTTAGTTACCATAGTCCATATATTGCAAAAGTATTTGCTTACCTAGCTGCAGGGTCCTGCTAAAAGAGAAGAAAACAGTTGCCGCACTCCTTTTCAAATTCATGCAGACTTTCTGCCTCTTATGCACAGGACTTACAAGGACATCAGGTGAAGGTAGGATTCTTACTATTTGGTCTATTCCCTTTTCTGAAATTATTTCTCTCCCTTTGCTAGCTGAGTTGTTCAGAATAAGGTCTGTATCTGTGGCAAGTGAATTTGGGAGAGTTCATCTCAAATGGAGTGTCAGCTCTAGTTAGCAAGACAGATTTGACTACTGATGTTTGAGTAGGGTATATATGAGACCCAACAGTGAATAATCTTAGTCAAAGCTTTTCCCAGAGCCAGCACAAATACTTGTGTGCTATGTGCTTGGAGCTGGAAGTCCTGGCAAGTGAAACATAAATGCCCATAATAGGCTCTAGATGGAGTCAGCTGAATCGAGCTGACCCTGGATTAATTGGGAAGGGAATGAGACAAAAAGGAAAAAAGGTGCATGGAGATGGGGTGAGGAACTAGGGCCAGTAGGAAACGCTGACAGCTTTCTCCAGTGATGCTTGGCTGCAAACAGCTTGTTAAGTACAGATATGTTGCAGGGAAAATAGACTGATTTTTTTTTTTTTTCCTGACCTTAGGTTTAATAATCCAAGCTCCCAAGGCATTTATCTGCCTCCTTAGCCAGAGTTAGTGGGATGAGGGGGTTCTCCAACATTAGGCACAGAAGATAACTAGCTTTTAATTTTGGCAAATAAAACTAAATGCCCAGATAGAGCACTGTCTCTAAGAGACTGTGCAAACCAGTCTTTATTCTTGTGAGTGGGTATTTCTGGTTAGTCTTCCAACACCCTCAAAAAAAAAAAGGCTGGAAATGAAAGCATCCCTGTAACCTGGGCAGAGCTCTCAGAGAAGTATTATAACTCTCCCCTGTGTCAGTCTTGACCACATTTGTTCATCACTCACCCAACACATCGGGGTGAATGATGCCTTTGTCCAGCTGAACACAAAAGCTTGGGCTCAGAGGCATCCCCTTTTAAATGTTAACTGTGAGGACAAAGCTTCCCTGTGTATCTTCAGATTTTTTTTTTTTTTTTTTCTGAGAACAAAATTTAATAAAACAAATGTAAAGCTAGCATTTTTTTTTTTTTTTTTAAACAACATTCTTACTTTTTTTTCAGTCTTTCCCAGTATTACTGAAACATCAAGAAAGGTGGTCATGCAGGTTGCAAGTAACATTTGATGGCTACTTTGAAGCCGTAAGGCTGAGCTTTCAGTGTCATGAAGGGTCCTTGATGTCATTTCTGTGGAGGCTGGTTGACCATACCAGTGATCCATGCTCTCCAAACCAGGATTCCTTCATTGCTCACCACGGTGACAGTGGGACTGAGTCCACCTTCAGCAAGTTTGCCAATGACACCGGGCTGTGTGGTGGGTGACATGCTGGAGGGCAGGGATGCCATCCAGAGGGACCTGGACAGGCTGGAGAGATGGGTCCATGCAAACCTCATGAAGTTCAACAAGGCCAAGTGCAAGGTCCTGCCCGTGGGTTGGTGCAATCACAAGCACAATCCCAAGACTGGGCAATGAGTGGATTGAGAGCAACCCTGAGGAGAAGGACTTGGGGGTGTTGGTTGATGAGAAGCTCAGCATGACCTGGCAACATTCTCTCACAGCCCAGAAAGCCAACTGTACCCTGGGCTGCATCAAGGGAAGTGTGGCCAACAGGTTGAGGTTGGTGATTCTCCGCCTCTAATCCACTGTTGTGTGACCCCCTCTGCAGTGCTGTGTCCAGATCTGGAGCCCCCAGCATTCAGGCTGGAGAAGAGAAGGCTCTGGGGAGACCTTCTAGCCGACTTCCAGTATTTAAAGGGGGCTACAGGAAAGTAGGAGAGGGACTTTTCACAAGGGCATGTAGTGATAGGATGAGGAGTAATGGCTTTAAACTGAAAGAGGTTTTATTTAATTAGAAATAAGATAGAAATTCTTTATTGTGAGGGTAGTGAGACACTGAAACAGGGTGCCCAGAGAAGCTGTGGGTGCCCCCTCCCTGGAAGGGTTCAAGGCCAGGTTGGACGGGACTGGGAGCAACCTGGTCTAGTGGAAGGTGTCCCTGCCCATGGCAGTTGGAACTAGATGATCTTTAAAGATTCTTTCAACCCAAACCATTTTATTATTCTGTGATTCTATGATATCTCCTTATTGAACGTTTAACTGTAATTCATTGCATGTGCAAGGTCAAGAACAATACTGCAGTGAGTTACAGTCATAGCTTACTACCCTTTTTTAAGTATTCCTGGGGTGTATCCCATGAATCTTCACTCTGTGGAATTTTTTGATCTTTTACCAGTCAATAGCAGAAGAATTTGCCTGTTTAGGAAGGAGTTATAAGAAAGATATTTTTGGGGCTTTTAGCACTGATAAGATTTTTTAGTGTGCCCACACTGCAAAATGTGTTGATTTCTCCTGATTTGAGGAAAAGCCCAAATTTTAGCTTCCTCCTCCTTTCTCCCATTGCCTTTTCTTTTTTTTTTTTTTTTTTTTTTTTTTTTTTAAGTGCATATTATTGAAATACGTAGAGTTTTCTCTGCAACTGAGAGAAGACTCAGCTCTACCTAGTGTGAAAATAACCTGCTTTTCTGATTGAATTGATATGGCAATCCTGGTTAAGATGGTACATGGCAGAGAATTCCTATGGCCACAGCCTGAGTGTCCCATCTAAGCAATACTAGTGAATATACACCCACGAAGCTCTCACTGTCTACAGAACACTGATGA